TTGGGAACATTTATGTTTAAGTAGACTTGGAAGGAAGAAGTCTCATGTTATTAATGACTTTATCAAACTTTTCTGTTTTGCATTACTTTTATGTGAAAATTAAGATTTTGGTCTTTATGGAATTTGTAGATATTGGAAGTAGAATAAAAGCCCATTCCCTCTAAAAAAAAACCTTTGGGTTAAGAAAACATTCCCTTTTTTTGGGAAATAAATGGTTAAAATGTTTTTATTCTAAACATCCTCTTGATTTTGTCAAGCAGATAAGAATGTTTGGCTTCCACTGACAAGGTTTTACTTTTTTTAGTAATCATATTCGGCCACTATGAAACCTTCTTGCAGAGCTCCTTCGCTTGAGACTGTCTCAAATTGAAGGGGAAACTGCAAGAAAAAGACTGAAAGCTTGCCCAAAGGGAACTTGCCAATCTTAATCGTGAGAATGCTGATCTCAAACACAAAATTGAAGCCAATGGTTAGTTCCCCCAAAAAGATACAAGTACTGTACTGAGGTGCTTAATAATAATAACTTGAGTATTGGTGTTTTGGTATTTACTTGCAAATTAACTTATATGGACGATTTATTATTTTCTTAATGTACTACATTTCCGTCTGATTTTGGTAACAGTGTTTGGGGGACATACACACATTTATGATAAAGTACAACCTTGGTAATCTGAGTCATTCTGTAAAATAGCACAGTAGTTTTCAAGTGCAAATGTGGTATATTGGTGGAAAAAGTCAACCACACACTAAAGAAAGATACTGTATAAGTAATTACACAATTGTACTGGGTTATTCCTTTTCATAAAACTTTAAAAAAATCTTTGCTACTTAGGTAGTTTTTTGTAAAATAAAGATGGTAGTGAATTGCTTTTGGTGACTGGAGCAACAAACCAACACATAAATATGAAGATATGTAATGCAGAACAAGCCTTTATTTTAGATGACATTTTGGTTAGGGTTGAGCTTTAGCCCTTTTTGAATATCAAGACCTGGTGAAAAAGATGCATGTGCAACACTTGGGTATTGTTACTCCCATCTTTGGCGTGGATATAGGTGAATATAACAATGGAGACAACAGAAGTAAAGTTTTGAGAAGATTGCTCTTGCAGCCTTGTTAAGTGGTGATCACTTTAAGTCTAAAGCACAGGCATGCAGCCAGACCTTGTGAGGGCTTGACCACCTTCTGCCAATACTGAGGATTGATCATCTTAAAGTATTATATCACTCTCTACAGTATTCACCTATATTCAACTGAAAAGCCCATTGAACAGATGAAATGTTTTGGCACAAAGATACCCAAGTGTTGCACATGTTTTATTCATCAACTTGTAAATATTATTAATGTTTTTTTATAATATTAAGACTTGCTCTGTTTTACAAGTCTTTATGGTCACTGTACATTAGGAATGTGTAGACAGTCACTAACCCTTTGACTGTGCAAGCCCCTATCTGAAAAATGTCATTCTATGTCGCAAAATTTTTGGAAAAAAAAAAAAAAATTCTTATGAAATGATAGAGAATCTTTTCCCGATGGCATTGACACCAAAAGTACAAAATTTGGTCGAAAACTCACAGAATTACGCTCCCACAAAGTTAGCGGTCTTGGCGACATACACGCATCGGTGATTTTGTCGGGCTTTGAGCCCTGTTTTTGGCCAATTCCGTTGTTCCAGTTGACCAAACTCATAGCTACTTCTTTAGAACTCTATTTTTTTCTATCAGCTGAGTACAAGAAACTGCCCATTTACCGATTTGAACTACCCAATAAAGTGGTCAGAAATTGGCAGTTTGGCCAATTTCACACAAATTAAAAAAGATGCCAATTTCAAAATAGGGTCCAGAATAAACAATGTACACTTTCTTGGCACTAAAATAACATATCCTCTTTTCATTAGTCACATCTCTAAGCCCTTCTTATATTACTATTGCTTTCTATTTTTATTTTTTATTCATACAAAAAATACAAAATTTACTGTTATGCAGACTACTGCATTATTGTAAAAATGGTATAAATAATATCAGTGCACTAGTGAAAAAATATTAGACTCCCCAGTTGACGTGTATTGGACGTGTGGTGTGATTTACTTACTCCTGAAAATTGGTAAAAATCAAACATTTCCGCTACTTTGAGCTCAATTTCAAGGTTGTTTTCATTGTGAAACTAACCAAAATCATCTCTATTTCTGTAATATATTTTCCATTTTATCACGTGAGACCATGAAAACGAGAATACAACGATAAGTACTATACAAAAATACACCTCAAAGTTGGCATTTTAATAAAAAAAAAGTCGTTTTTTTTTTTCTCATTATGCACTGCATGCTACAGGATTTTTTTATGTGGTGCACACTGACCACACAGACCCATTCTCTCACATGTGAGCCTACCAGCTTTCTCCTGCTTGATTTGAAGCCGCTAGAATTTATGCGTATTAATACGTCCAAAACACTTGCTCATAAGACGTATATATACGACCAAAACAGTCAAAGGGCTAATAGGATTATTGCAAGCTGAAAAAAATCTCACCTAAAGTGTGAATTACTCATAAAAGTTGGTGTGCAATGTAAATTCCTGCTTCAGAGACAAAACAACATGTTTGCAAAATAGGGTTAGTGTCAGCAAACCTTAACCCCTTCAGGGTCCAAGGCCAAAATCTGAAGTGGTGCTCCAGTGTCCAAGAAATTTTGAACAAAAAAAAAATAATTTTTTCTTACAGAAGCTTGGGTGGTAAATGCAGCAGCGAGGAGACGGTTGGAGGCAGTGGAGATGTCCTGTCTAAGGGCAATGTGTGGTGTAAATATTATGCAGAAAATTCGGAGTGTGGAAATTAGGAAAAGGTGTGGAGTTAATAAAAGTATTAATCAGAGGGCAGAAGAGGGGTTGTTGAGGTGGTTTGGTCATTTAGAGAGAATGGATCAAAGTAGAATGACAGGAAAGCAATAAATCTATAGGGGGAAGGAAGGCGACGTAGGGGTCGTCCTCGAAAGGGTTGGAGAGAGGGGGTAAAGGAGGTTTTGTGGGCAAGGGGCTTGGGCTTCCAGCAAGCGTGCGTGAGCGTGTTAGATAGGAGTGAATGGAGACGAATGGTACTTGGGACCTGACGATCTGTTGGAGTGTGAGCAGGGTAATATTTAGTGAAGGGATTCAGGGAAACCGGTTATTTTCATATAGTCGGACTTGAGTCCTGGAAATGGGAAGTACAGTGGACCCCTGCATACCGCACGCATCGCATACTGTACAATCCGCATACCGCTTGCTTTTTTCGCAAAAATTTTGCCTCGCATACCGCCAAAAAACCCGCTCACTGCCCTTCGTCCGAGACGCGTCCAATGTGCGGCCTGAGCCACGCTCACAAGTTCCGCCGGTGGCATTGTTTACCAGCCAGCCTCCGCGGTAACATCCAAGCATACAACGAACATTCGTAATTATTACAGTGTTTTTTGGTGATTTTTTCTGAAAATAAGTGAGCCATGGGCCCCAAGAAAGCTTCTATGCCAACCCTATCAGCAATAAGGGGAGAATTTCTATAGAGATGAAGAAAAAGATCATGATAAGTATGAAAAGGGGATGCGTGTCTCCCGACTAAGCTGGCCAGGTGTATAATAAACCCCAAACAACATCGCTACTAATGGTGTAACAGCTGCTGCTGTACCACCGTCAGCTGCTGCTACACTGTCAGCTGCTGCTGCACTGTCAGCTGCTGCTGCACTGTCAGCTGCTGCTGCACTGTCATCTTAGCTGCTGCTGCTGTATGTAACTTCACTATTACAACCTAGGATTTCAAATGGCCTGTTATCCCCAGGTGTAATGGAGCAAATAAACACAGTAGAAAAATGTTTAGACTTATATTATCCTTCACCCAATAATAACAGCAATATGACCACTATGTACAGTGATAAATAAAGTGCACTCCAAGCGTCCCCACGGTAAGCAAGGCAGAAATAGAAGCCACAAGATAGCAGACCGTGGCTTCAACAAGCCTAGAGTGGGAATGACAAGGGCAGACAGGAGAGCGGTATCCACATTAACCTTCTGCGTTGTCCAATCCCACCTTCTTATTGGCTAGAAACCTGGTCCCCACTAATTTGTACGATGGGCCCCATCATCACTCTTAGGCAACCTGGTTTCGCTGGTTGGGGGAAGATAGCCTGTAAATGAGGTGTGTCCATGGCGCCGAATAAAGGTTACGTACTTTATGAATCCACACCCCCACCGCCCGGAAGGCTCAGGATTAGGCTGCCACCCTCCCAGTGGTAACCGTGCCCGCCCATGGCACAAAATAATGGACCGCCTATCCTCTCCACCATCCACCTCTTAGATAGAGCTCAGCTTTCCCTAGTGACCAAAAGCCAAACCCTAACTTAGAGTGAGACAGCAGTCAGACCAGCTACATAGGTCCAAGATACAGCGGACCGGTAGCTCCGCATCCCCTCACTAAAAAAAACCCCCCACATCAGATCAAAAAAAAGAGCTTTTGCAAGGTTACCACAATATACATCCTACCTAACCTAAATTAAATAATAAACTAACTCTGGGACAAAGATCTGCCAACACATTTTCTTTGCCGGCAAATAATTAATTCTGATATTGTAGTTGGCTTGCAGCCTGAGCGTGCCAACGCATAAGCCTTGGTGTTTGATTCTTCTGGCTTTGGAGATAGACTAACGGGTTGTATCACTGTAGACTGTGACCACCTGCGATGTCTGGCCACATAAACATCGAAATGCTCCAAAGCCATTACCAGCGAGAGGGCTTCTTTTCAATGGTAGAGTAAGCCTCTCTGATGTGGATGGAACTTAGCTGAAAAGTATGGCGATTGGCTGCAGCTCCTTGTTTCCCGATTTGTAATAGTACCGACCCAACCCCAGACTCACAAGCACAACCTGTAATGATAAAGGTTTGGAGAAGTCTGGAGACAGGAGATGGGGCAGAGCACAATAATCTTTTTGCTTTATTAAAAGCAGTGTTACAATCTGACGTCCAATTAAAAGGGAACTTTATGACTGGTAAGAGAGGGTAAGAGGGCTACAATATCTGAGAAATTCTTACAGAAATCTTCAGTTAAAATCCTATCATGCCTAGAAACGGTTGAGAGATTTCCTATCATGAAGGAACTGGATAATCTTTAATAGAAAGAACTTTGCAAGTTTAGGTGCACACAATGCACCTACCTACTTCATGGGCCTAGAAAAGTGATAGTGGCCCTGGCCAGAGAAGATTTATGATAAATTAACTGTTAATTGGGAATACATAAAGGTCTCAACAGAGCTTTTAAGGCTAAGTAAAAAAAAAGGTGTTGATCCCAAGTATCAGACACCACAACAATATCATCTAGGTATGCTGGCCGTGCCTTCAAGTCCTTTAATAGCCTGATGGATGAGTTTCTGGAATGAAGAGGGGGAATTTTTCATTCCCGAAGGGGGGTATCTGTATTACTGATAAACCTCCTGGAATCACGAAGGCAGAGAT